GCTCGTCTCTCGACGCCGACGACGCATCTGCTTTCACACATTCATTTCAGACGCCGTATCTACGTACCTGCGGGTTTGAAGCGGGCGACCGCGTCTGCGGCGTGTACGTGGTGCGATGGAGGCGCGAAGGCAGAGTCGTGCTGGATTTGGCGCCGCCGCGGGGGTGGAGGGGGCCTCTTGTGAAAGGTGCGCTGGATGTTGGGTTTGAGAGGGATGGGGAGGGAGAGGATAGCGTGAGGTTTGTGAATGAGACGGTGATGTAAAGGGGGGTGGACGAGAAGCCGACGATGCTGGAGGGGGGCGTTGGGAGGTGGATGCACGGGTTGCTGGCGGGCTGGTTGGTGGTTAGGGGGGTGGAGGCTGTGCTGGGAGGGCGATGAGTGTTGGGGAGAGGGAGAGGGTGGCGGTGCTGGCTATGTGCTTGCGTTAGGGGTAAAAGGGGCGATTGGGATAGCCGATTGGGTCATAAATGTATTGGTTTATAGGTTACCTCAAACGATGATTATGAATTGTTTAAAAAAGAATCGTATATTATGGGTTATAATTATTTTAGTTAAACTAGTCTTTTAGGTGATTACCAAGGGATTCTATTAGATGACCCGGGTCTTATTACTTGTTCCCGACCAATCGTAGCCAAAACCACTCCAACCCGATGGAGTGATGATCCTTGTAAGCCCTCCCTCCCATGGGTAGTAAGACCCGGCAACTTCGCCATTTTTCAAATAAACACCTGACTCGTCGCCCCTTTGCAAGATTTTTTCCGTATGACATCTTATCATCGAACGAGCCGAGGCCAATTGTATCCTTCCTTCCTTATCACAGCCCCTCGAGACTTTTTACAAAACTTGCTACCTTCCACCAATTGTCATCTAATCTGGAGCAGACATCCTTCAGGCACGAATTTTTTTCGTATATATTCATCTATCACTGAGTTTAAATCGCTTTCGTGGTCATCAGTCTAAAAGCAGAGATAAAAAGCAACAAATAAAATGCCAAGATCAACCAATTCAGGTTCATCCGGTTCCTCCACCAGCTCATCCAGATTCGTCTGGCCATTCTCACTAAACAGCGCCAGCAAGCTGGACCAATATCGTCTACCAACTTTCGTTTCGAAAGCTCGAGACTCCTCTTCGTCTCGGACCTCCACCCAATTGTCGTCGTCAGAGCTCGAAGACACGAGTGGTGATACCGATTTCATAGGTCATGTATCACATGAAAGAGCGCGCTAGCGTGAATACCTATTTAATCTCAGCTGATTTTATTTCGCTCAATTGGTAAGAAAGAAGCTTTCTTTACGCCTTCAAGTCCCAAATCTTGCAAACCCATATTTTCAACAACCCCCCTTTTTATACCACGCAGCGTATCTAACTCTCCACAAGATTACAAGTTTAAGTAGCAAGGCGTTACTCAGGAATCGAGTCTGTGGACTTCGCTGTTTGAGGTGGACGATCTGCTCCTTCACAATCACTAATATGTGTGGGATAGAGGTTGGCGAATGGAATTTTAGATGGGACAGGTCACTCCTTTTTCACTTTTTATATTGATAAGAAACTGTGTTACTCACGGCGTGAATAAACTTCCTACTCATCGAGAGGTTTTATGTTTACCAACGGCCTGCAGCCATAGTCAAACTCAGGTACAAGTTCTGATTGATAGCAGGTGATTGTCGAGATGGTTTAGTGACTTACATTTCACCAACGCAACTATCATATATATCTGCCTATATACATGTGATTCGCAGCAAATGTGACTTGCTAGGTATTCCATCTGGTTCATCCTCAGTGTGCCAAACATTATTCCTGCCTCCCAGCACTATCAAGTTTTAGGCGTGTTTTCTAAGATGTCTAAATTTAATTACAGATAATGGGTTCTTTCTAGTCCAACTCTCTCATAGTCACATGTCTTAGTGGCTTAGCCTTTCTTACTTTCGGCATGAACAAAAGACAATCAGGCCGCCCCGAGCTACGGTGGGGTGGATATCGGGAGCTTTGTCAATCGTTCCTTCTTTACGGCGCCGAACCGGACATAAGGCCGGTAGGCACCTATCTTGGTCAGTAAAACTACTGGTCCGGTATCACCGGAATGGTCCTACTAGTCCGCTTGCCATGCGTGACAAACGATGCCTTATTGTTCATTTTATTTAGATATAAGCCTTTCATTGTCTCAATAGATAACCATTGTATCGCAAATAATGGATGTTGGTAAACAATGCTAAGTATAAAACATCCCTTCTTGCGTTCCGTACATGCAGAACAAGGGTAACAATTAACAATGCAAACATATCAACTGTATCGTAGGTACCTATATATCATTGTAGTGAAAAGGTATACGTTCAACCTTTCGCACGCAGAATAATTAGATCTGGGATCTGCCATACCCAACTCGTCAGTGTGATTTGTTGATTCAATATTGCCTAGGTACGCAGGTAGGAAGTAACCCTATTTTAACCTTAGCAATGTCTTGCCTACACCTTGAATCAAAGGCACACAGAACTGCGATTGATGAGACTACTGGGCTATGTGGCGTATGCAGCCAGATCTTTTCATTCTACGTCTCACCGGACACCATCCCTAGTGAAGATGATTCCGACAATATTGTCTGCCATTTTCACATCGGCCCCTTCCGTTACGTATCCGCTAAGGCAGTCTCCTGCTCCGGGTGCCGGCTGATTTTAGGAGCCATCTGGGGCTCGGTCGGTCGAGTGGGCGATGAAGAAACACTTAAAATCGAAAGAGATCACCAGATACTTTATTATGCTCCACCGACACAAGTCAATCCAGCTCAGCCGGCACGACTCGTAGATGTGCTGGAGACCCTTTTCAGTATCGTAGTAGAGCCGGGACAGACATCCAAGCGAAAAAGGGCGGCGGGGTCAATCATCAGAAACGGAAGGCTAGGGATGAAAGTCATGTCAGATTTTCGACCAGGCGACGAGGAAGCCTGCAGCTTAGCGGAAAGTCTGGCCGGGGATCTCTTCTTTCGAGGTCGAGAAGTGCCCGCAACTTTGGATACCGACTTGTTGAAGGGCTGGTTGCATCGTTGCAACACAGAGCACGAGAATTGCCTCCTTCCTGATGAGCAGCAAGACCCGCTCTTCAAGAGTTCTATGGTACGCCTTATTGATGTTGAAGAACGAAAGGTCATCATGACCGCTCCCAAGGGGCAAGAATACGTAGCATTGTCATACGTATGGGGTAAAGACACAAAGGGAATTTTGACCAAAGCTACCCTTGAAGTCTTATCGTCTCCATGTAGTATATCAGAGGATCCTGAGGCAATCCCCAAGTCTATTCTCGACGCTATGCGACTTGTGCGGGACATCGGTCTTCGATATCTCTGGGTAGACTCTCTATGCATCATTCAAGACGACAATCTAGACAGGGTGCAACGAATGGCCTATATGGGTAGCATATACAGCCATGCTAGCCTGGTCGTCATCGCTGCCTCGGGCAAGGATGCGCACGCGGGACTTCCCGGGGTAGCCGGTAACAGGAAAATATGGCAGTATAAGCAGAACGTCGGTGATTTCCCATTAATTACTGCTCAGCCGTGGGTCGCCCAAGCCGTCAAGAGAACAACGTGGAACACTCGAGGCTGGACGTTCCAGGAAGCCGCCCTAGCTCGTCGTACACTCGTCTTCACAGAGAACCAGGTGTACTGGAATTGCCAAAAGAACAGCTACAGGGAGGACATGACGTGCGAGATGGTGCGGCAGCCTGTCGAGATCAATCGTACTATATCTTCGTTGTGGGGCAGAAAGGGAATCGGAAGAGGTTCATGTCCCACCCTAAAATACTGCGATCGCGTCACGCGCTTTTCCGAAAGAGAGTTCAAGGACGATGGGGATGCCCTTTGGGCATTTGACGGCATTTTCGCGTCCCAGAGTGCCGACTTTCCCAAAGGTTTCATCTGGGGCACGCCGTATGAGATACTAGATACGGCGCTCCTCTGGACGGCTGGTTACGGATGCGGCGGGGTTCAGATGCGCGAGTCTAGGCATGAGGTGTATGACGACAAAAAAGGGGCCATACTCAATTTGAAAGTTCCATCGTGGTCATGGCTATCGCAAAGGCCTGTGGACCTCTACCACATGTGCGAGGAAGACGTCGTCTCGAAGGTCTCGTGGCACAGACCTTTATTTCTCGCATGCCACGCGACGCCGAATACCCACTTCATTAGCCCCCCGGGCAGCACACTTTTCTCCGACGATACTCGGGACGATGGTAGTGTCGTCCGGGATTATGGCCTCCTGCGGTTTACTGCCCGGACAGCCAAACTTGATATCAGGCGAGCTGCAACCAAGCACAAACGATGCCGATGCCGAGGTGAGCATAACCATGAATGGGTAAATACCACAGTTCATGATACTCGTGGGAGAAGCATCGGCATACTACGCATTAATGCTGAGTTTCTGGAGGACAAGGACACGCGGCTCGGCGAATGCGTCGTGCTATCCGCAAACGTTACAGACGAGGAGAACGAAGTATGTAAGCGGTCCATCGTAATGGATGGTGAGGAGATCGTAAGTAAGGGGAATGTGACTCATGTTGGTGTATGTGAGCATGTCAAGACCTATAACATCATGCTGGTTGAGTGGGATGATTCCGGCCACATCGCTAAGAGAGTTGGGCTAGGCGAAGTAAAACCAAAGGACTGGGAAAATCTTGAGATCTGCGAAAAGCACATAGTTTTGATGTAAGCATGAAGGCATTTGCCCCTGCTACATAAGGCGCCTAGTTTACGTGATCGCCGTGTATTCCAAGATGAGAATAGCTTCATAGAAACGCGGTGGTCGTATCTGAATCAGCTGAATGCGGTGGAATCAGAAGGAACAAACAGCTGTCGCAAGAAAGTCGTGGCAACCTAATAACGTGGGAAGACATTGAACGGGACAAAGAGGCCGACACGTAGTGAAAACAATAGAAATTGGTAGAAAAAAAAAATAAGACACATATGGTTATACCTCCATTATGAAAGTCATCTCTGATGAGCAAATGAAGTGGACGAGCAGGGAGTCGAACCCTGGGCTTCTCGCATGCAAAGCGAGCACTCTACCACTGAGTTACACGCCCCTTTGGTAGCCTAAGGTTGACATCGTGACATATTACAGCAGACACTTGGCCTTTCAAAAAAATATGTTGGGGCTTACCGCTATACTAGTTCCAGCCTAGCAGCATCCACCAGTTGAAAGCATCAAGGGCCAAAGACTTTATTAAAATATCTCAGGGGGTTGAGTTGGGTATCTCGCGAAGCGTACAAAAGAGGAACCAATGGGCAAGCAAAACGCCATCCATATACATAAGTCGACTGTCGTTATACGTAATCCGTTCCGTAAACCGGGGAAGCTTTTTTTTTTTTTCGAATCATCACTTTTTCCTCCAATGCTGCTGCAATTTCTTTTTAGAAACACCTTTCCGTCCCGTAAGCTCTCGACAATATTTGCAAAATAAACAAACGATACACATCCGGTCCGTAGAATTTTTTCGAGTTGCTTTTTGGGGAATTTGGGGAATTTTTTATTCCACTCGGATGACGACCTTCCAGCCTAGAGCTCCTGCCTCTCGTATGGCGCAGGACAGACAACCTCTTCTGCGTCGGCTAATGACGGCGTTCCAGCCCCTATCGGCGCAGAGAGCGCGGACGAGGATTTCGAGGTCGGACCCGAACTGTCTTCTATGAGTTCCAAGTCGCATCCTCGCCGAAGGACTCGGGCTCTGGCTGGGAGGGTCTATGCGCTCGACTCGGCTGTGAGTGGACGCGGCGGTGCTGGGACGTCTTTCCATGTCGATAGAACCTGGCATGCGGATAGGAGGGATATTGGTAGGTTCCATACCGAACGATGAGGAAAGTGATGACATGCGGGACAGTGAAGGCATGTCTGGAGACGGTGGCGGGGCAAAGCCCGTTACACAGTCGATAACGAGGAAGCGTGGGGGCCTGCTGGGAACGGATGATGTCGAGTGGTTACTGGAGCGGTTATTTACTGGGCTCTTGCTTAATAAGTCTTCCAGAGTCGCCGCAGGCTGGTTAATAAGGTCCGTGAGATGGATCGCTGTGTAAGTGTAGAACCTATGGAGTGGATGCCCTGGGTTGTGTCAGTGGAGCGCACTACGTAATGTGGTTAAGAATGCTTACCCGTAATATGTGCTGGGCTAGAGGATTTTCCATTGAAATCGTGGCCGCCGACATCGATCTGTTGAATTGTAGGGCTAGTCGGGGATTTGAAATATTTAACGTAGCTAGATGCAACGCACGGGTGAGCCGTAACAAAATAGATCTCATTGGACAGCCCGAAATTGTGAGATTCGTCCCGATCAAGCGCATCGTGAGATATTGTGAATGTCACAGAAGCAGGGTACGTGTGTATTCCTCGATCATTTTCCTTGCCCGAGTCGGAGAACAGACTGAAACCCTTCTCTGCCGTAGGTGTTGTGCTCACGCTGTCTACTTGCGAGGTCAAATTGAGCGATTTCAGTTCTACTCTGATATTCGAAGGTGGCGAATTAGGATATGCATTCTCGTACGGAATGATAAAATCAGCGGGTAGCACATTCGAGGGGTCGGCATCGCCGAGAACGTCAGATTCTCGTTCGATAGTCGTCTTTCCCCATATTCGAGCTTTTCTTCCTGTGCGAGCGAGATCGGCTACAGATACGGTCAATAACACATAATGGACTATGTGGGTTTCATCTAACTTACCAGGCATAGGATCGGACGCGACGTTGACCCAACCCTCTTCTATCCCGCGGGGTATCACGTCACTTGATATCCAGCCCATACACTCAGCAGCACCTTGTCCAGCAGCTAGAACGCGGCCCACGATGCTAGTTGTGCTCCAGAAGCTCTTTCCACTATAGACAAAACCACCACTCAGGCTAGCCATCGGGCCAAGCCTCGACAGTACGTCGTCATCAATTTCGAGCAAAGCTGACATAATATATTGTGACAACACCTCGCCTGGTAAGATCAATCCGGATGCGTACGACTTCGAGAACCATCCGGACGGGTGTAGAGCCGCCTCTATCTTCCGTCTCCTGGTGGGCTGTTTTCTCCTAGTCAACGAGGGCCTCTCACCAAAATATGAATTTCGGCGTGTATCATGTGTAACAGGGGGTGTTGTAATGGGCGTAGCATTACCGAGTGACATCGCTTTCTCACACATCTTTGGGCCGGAGAACTGGATATCCGGCCATCGTAGCTTTCGAGCGAAATGAACCAATCCGTTGGCCTGTCTCTCGCTATACTTACCCTGAATCTCAAACGTGTGTTCGGACTGTGCGTTATGGCGGTGGTGGCTATGGTCAACGTGATACGATCCATGCATGTGTTCATGCTTGAGATTCATCTTGCTCGTCAAAGACGACAACCAGCCTTTCGGCGTGGATGGCTCAGAGAAAGTCACGTGAGATTTCTTCACCGTGATATTCTCAAGCCACGAACGAGCGAGAACCAGAGACCATCTGACGGAGACATTTGCCTCCTTTTCGAATCTGTGTACTTCGGATGCTCTGAGACTTTGACCCAAGCCAAATTCATCCCCTTCGGTGATGGTGTCCAAGCGAATGAGAAGTTCGCAGGCGAGAAGAATTTGAAGCAGCAACCAATACCGCTCCTCGTTTCGATCATGCGCATCATCGCCCTCATTAATCTCTGTTCCGTCAAAAATCTCGTCGTCCAAGGGAAAACCCCACAAAATCTGACCAAGACGGATTCTCCATTCGACTCGAGAAAAATCGGTCCATGTGTTTGGGGCCGCTAAAACCTTCACCAAAGCTTGAATTTGCACGGCTAGACTGTAAGGATCGTTCGGGTCAATGACCCGCGTCGGCGGATGTAGAGTTTTGGTGAATAATTCGTCGTAAAGTTCCCGAGATTTCATCCGAACTCCCCTCCGCTCCGATTGGTACCTCTCCTCGCATTTCATCAGCTGTTCCATAATCGTCGCATCGTCCAGATGACGCAGGCCATCTTTGGATGTTATAAGCTTCTGACGCTGCTCCACAATGATATGGCCTTTCGATCCCAAGCTGTCGAATCCGTATTGCTCCTCCTGAAGAGCGTCGGCGATGGAAATTTCTAGTGCTGCCTGGTAACCAATGGTGCCCTTCTCCAATCCTTGCATGCTGAGCATGCTTGGGCGTTCCTGGCATCTTGCATTGAAATGCGGTCGCTTCTTACCGGACGGCGAAGCCAAAGCCATAGGGTCCCGATGAATAAGTCGGGGACCGGCGGTGACGGATCCCCAGGCTTCATCTCCTATCTGGACATGATCGGCCAGGTCTCTGATTCCCAACTCCTCATTCCAGGGAAAAGCGACGGATGGGTGCGGGGCTCCCGTGCCGTGGCCCTGAGACCGAGCAAAGAATTGCGGAGCTCCGGAGAACAATTTCTCAATCTCCGCTTCAGTCAGCGCAGCCATGATGCGGTTGAGCTTTAGCACAGGCTTGCGTGGTCTGCCATCGACTTTGTCGATTGTGCCTGGGGGAGGCGGAGAAGGGAGCGGCTTGTTAGAGTTGACGGGCGAGCGCGGAGATAACAGGGGTCTCTCAGACGAAGCCCGGGTGCTTGAAACCTGCCGGGCACGAGCACTTGGTCAGCGATGAAGTTCCGCAGGTCTGAAATCTGGAACAGGTCGACGCCTCTTTTTAGGGTCTAGGTGTTGTGCAGGTATAGGGACAGGTATATGTTATAGGAGGTAATTAAACACGTGCAGTGCCCAGGCCAAGACAAATAGTTCAACTGTACGTTTCCCTTCCGGACGAGCAGGAAATGAAAAGGCCAAGAACAAAAACAGCGCATGCAGGGTCTAGGTAGAAAACATCAGCTGAGGTCATAAGACGCTTTAGGGGTCGTCCTATTCCACGACGCCCCCCTCACTGACTTCGAACTGCAGATGGCAACTGTATCGTACTTGTACCATACTGGGGGGTTGCCTGGGGGTTGATGGTTGATGGGGCTGCCAGTTGACACTCTGACTCGTGAGCTTGTGACAACTGCCAGCTTCTACGGCACCAGCATAACAACAAAGGAATGCCAGACGACAGATGTCCAGAAAGGGGATAGAGTAGAAAAGGTGGAGCGGTAAGGGTTGCTAAATAAGGAAATTATTAGGAGGGTACAGTACCGTGGTCGCTGCGTTGGCTTTTGGTTTCTCCGCATTGATTGTACTCGTTGTACCTGTACTTGTACCTTCGCATCTGTCCGCCGCGCCCGAGCCCGAGCCCGCTAAGTTTCCATCTCCATTTCCACTCTCATGATCAGCTGCATCTAAATTTTCCTCATTTTCCCTTCGTCGTCGTTCTTCAACTTCGTAAGCTTTGCTTTTTCGCAGCCTCTTCGTCGTTCGAGTTTGATGAGTCTTACGAATCTGTTCTCTTGGCCGACGTATAAAGTCTCGAATGCCCGTGCATTTAGATGAGGTCTGCCGGTCGCCACCTCTTGGATCCTTGGCGTCGGTACTAAACACCTGCACTGAACGTCTCAGCACCGCCAGCGAGGGCATCTTGGTGAACTTGTCTTCCCAGCCTGCTCCGGCCGTTCAGCGCGTCGAACGTGACGTCCAACGGGATGCCGCGCGAAACTTGCATCGAGGTTGCAGAACCAAGTCTGTCGTACTGCTATGAATATCCCATGAGAGCGACCGCCAAGCCATACGATGGAGGTTGAGAAGGTTGAAGCGAAGCCTGTGGACTCAAGTGATGCTAACGGCTAGGCAAAGGCGATCATCTGTGAGACATTCTTAGCAAACCTAAAAGTGAGTGAAAGGGTACAACCCGACGCCTTAGTGTGCCCAAGTAAATTTCAGATGGCACAATATTGGGAAGATCAGGCTGGGCAGCACAACCTGTTATTAAAAGGTTGGCTCTGGTTAATGACGGTGATGGTGACGGGTATATGATCCAAGGTCCACGTTCATCGCAACAGCCTGCTTCAGATATTCGGTCTATATCTACCTACCTAGGTTAACGGTACGTGCTAGAACTAATATCCTCCTTCCGAACGGTCTTATTAGTGATGCCACGAACCGCCAAGCTAGCCATCGAAATGCCGGGTCACAATCCCATGATAGCTG